TATATATGTATGTATGTATATAAATATTTATATGTATAAACATTTATATATGTATATATATTAATGTTATGTAATATCAGAAGTTTAACTTGGAGCAGTTGGATGATTGTCAATTGGAACTCCAGGGTTAAGGAGGATTGAGCTGGAGCAGTGGAAGGATGGGTGACCTACTGGGAAGTGAGTTGCGGGATCGGGATCGGGATAGATGTCGGAGTTGGGGTCGGGGTCGGGGCTGGGGGATCGGGATCGGAGCCGGGGGTCGGGATCGGTGCCGGGGGTCGGGATCGAGAATATATTTTGAATTTTTTGTTGGAATGTTCCAACAGATTGCGGTTGGAATTTCCGTTGGAAAATTCCAACGGATATCGGTTGGAAATTCGGTTGGAAAATTCCAACCGATAAATCCGTTGGAAATCCGTTGGAAAATTCCAACGGATTGCGGTTGGAAATCCGTTGGAAAATTCCAACGGAAAAATTCGTTGAAGTTCCGTTGAAAATTCCAACAGTTTTCCAACGGACACCGTTTTCTAACGATAAAATTCCAACGGATTTATCCGTTGGAAATCCGTTGGAAACGTTAATTTCCAACGGAAATTTGGTCATTTCCAACGGATTTGTCCGTTGGAAATGACCATTTTTTTTGTAGTGATAATATTTATTTGAATATCATTAATTATATAATATTCGGTTTTTTATATATATCCCACACCTAGTTATGCACTTAATTTGGATGTATGTAGATTGATGTTTATGAAAAATGGATTAATGTCGTGCATATGAACTGTGGATCATTCCACATGTTGTCAATCTCTTCTTTCCCCTCTTCTCATACAATTCTCAACCATAAATATTAGTATTTTAATATCTATATATTCAACATACTAATTCAATGAATTACTTTATTATATATATCGATCAGATGGATATTTAAAAATTAATTAATGTCAACCATTATGATATGTGACAAAAAATTAGAAAAACACTACTTCTTTTATTTTATGGGTATCTAACTCGAAACAATGCATTTTTAAAGTAGATATATATATATATTGTTTTCCTTTTTATTTAAAAAAACATTTGGGTGTTATCAAGTTCAAAGAACGTAAAAACTGTGTGAAAACAAAACATGACCTATATATATACACACTTTAATTTTTTCTTATAATGTCTAAAATATTCAAGATGATATGTTTTTTACGTTATAAAGTGGATACAGTTTGTTTCTTTTTAAAAAAATTAAAAGTAGACACTTTATTTTTGGGTTAACAAGTTCAAAGAACGTAAAAACTTTGTGAAAACAAAACATGAGATCTATATACTTTAAATTTTTCTTCTGATGTCTAAAATGTTCAAGATTATATATTTTTACATCATAAACGTAAAGTGTGTATATATATATACATTCTATTTATTTTTTAATTAAACAAAAAAAGCAAACACTTTATTTTTGGGTTAACAAGTTAAAAGTAAAAAGCTTTCTGAAAACGAATAAATATTTAATTATATTGCATGTAACAGTCGGATAAAAATACGATAAAGATGAGCTTTACAGCTTCTGGACCCTCCTCCTCCCACCATTACGACGACATTTATCATAAACTTGACTTTTACAGAACCAATGAGGCTTGATTCTTATAAAATCTTATTATATCAAATTATATATATACGTACGCATACACGTATGTGTATATCATAGAGGAGGTGGCTGGTGACGTGGCGGCAAAGGTGAAGAAGGCTTTGCTTCATCAGGGGAATCAAACAGCCAAATTGTACAGTGCAAAAGCAAACCCTAAAAATGCCTTTCGAGTTGTTTTCTTTCTCTCTCTATGGTGTGTCACCAAATGGCTTTTGGGGTTTTCATTTCATTATTTAATTTTTCGGGGCATCGGATCTTTCTTTTTTTCTTTTTCGGGCTTTTTTACAAGATTAGTTCTTCAGCCACCTTGAGATTTGAGTTAAATGATATTTTTACAAGATTAGTTCTTCAGCCACCACCATACATGTTTGTTTGCCATTGATCTCCACGTCAAATATCTACATTTTTATTGAATTAAATGATATTAAATTGTATTGGCTCAAATATAGTTTTTAAAGTTATATCTATATTCTCTATTTTTAATATTAATTAATGTCACAATTTAAAATAATCGAAAATAAAACTTAAACTAGATACAAAAATTGCATGTATTCTATAGTTACCCCAAGCCATAAATCTAAAAAGTGGTAGATCGATAATTGATATTATGCGATGAATGAAATTAATTTAACCACAAAATGTATTCTAAGACATTAGAAGTTTAAATATTATTATATCATTATATCATTTTTTTTGGTAATGGTAAAATTTCATAGATAACAAAAAAAAAAAGAGTTTGTATAGCATTTCGCCAAGACAAAACAAAAGGTAATTGGATTTCACGAATCAGAACTAAAACACAAAGCAAATGTCAACGCCCAAGATTGGAGTAGATCATGATGCGAGGGAGGACCATTCATCAACCAGATAATATCATTATATTATTGATATACACATATATAAATATATTATAGATTAGGCTAAAAAAATATGCCCACTCTAATTATATATTCATCTAATAATAAAAAGTCACATATTAATAAATACACAAACATCATAAAAAAAAATCCCAAATACATACACGCTTAAAATTTTTAAAAATCATAGGAATTCTTCTCAACTTTTACATTGAAAGATTAACTTTAAAATGTTTTTTTGGGATTCTTTTAAAAGTTTAGAGTTTATAATTTCATAGGGGTTTAATTTTTTTTTTAAAGCCTGTATGTATATTAATATGTAATTTTACCTAATAAAAAGATACACAACATTACGCATTCAATCTTAATATATTATATGATAACTATTTTAAATGTGAAAAGTAACTATTATAAAAATCTAATATACAAAAAAAATCTATAGTCTAGTGATTCAAACTATGTGTTCATCATCAATTCGAACAACATTATTAGAAAAATATATTGTATAAATTTGTTAAATAGCATTTAATGAGAAATTTTTGATAACTCGTTGAAAATATGAAATAGATATGCAGCCGAAAATTGAAGGGCCATGACCCAACGCCAACTCCCATTCTCTCCCAAAGCATTTCGCTTCCCAAAAGGAAAAGAGCATCCTCTTTTTCTATTTTTTATTTGTAAAATGTAAGGCACGACATTGAAACGAATAAATTGGTACAATTGAAATTAAAACAATCTTCATAATCTTTAAAAATATTTATTCAACTTCTTTTAGGTACGATAAAATTAATTCAATTTTTTTATATTTAATCCATAAATCGAATATCTGAATAATTGGGATTCTAACAGTTTTACTCTAATATCCACAAAGTTGAGTACTAAATCAAGTTTTCCTAATCAACATTCAAATACCTATTGATACTCTCTGTATATTACACAAATGCCCTTATAGATATTAAAAATAACAATTGTACCATTTGACTTGTTTTAGAAAGAAAGAAAAAAACCAAATGGCGTTCCGGGGGATGCTCACCGCTCTCACATCACTCATGAGTCATCACTGACCGTTTTTCTTTTTTGTCCGAAAACAATTAGTGCCGGTGTCTTCAATACACTGCGGGTAAATTGCTCCTGAATTTAGGGTTTAGGGTTCCTTGTGTTAGTCTCTCCATCGATCGCGAGCTGAGATTTTATCGCCTCTTTCGGGGATTTCGCCGCCGCTGAGCTCCAGTATTTCGCAGGTTTTGGCTTTTGGGTCATTCGAGGTCATCATTGTTTTTTGTTTTCATGTTTCCATTTCAGCTATTTTTTTTTCCTATTGATGTTTTTGTTGTAGTCTGGGAATCTAGGTTTATAGATGTTTAGAAATCAATGTTAAGTTTAGAAGGTCAGTGTTTTGATAGCGTTATTGAGATAATCTTTAGACGTAGTGCTGTTGCATTGAAGGTGTTCGACGAAATTCCTGTCGGAATTCATCGTGCACTCGTAGCTTATTCTGAATTAAAATTCTGCAATATTTAAGACTGGAAAAACACTAAAGCCAACGACTTCGAGTATGAATTCGGAATCTAAACGTAAACTCTATAAATTTCGAATGAACATGTGGTGGCAAGATTTGGTGATTTTGTTACTGTTTTTGCTGTCATAGAAAATTCTTTCCTGCATTGCAGTGCAGTTGAAGATCGCCACTCTTTTTCATTTCCTTTGGTTAGAGTTCTGTTATGGAGGACATTGAGAATATCGAAGAAGATGAATTTGGGTTCTCGAGAAATTACTTTCTCGCGAAAGAATTGGGTGGAACAAGCAAGAAATCTGCCCGTAAACTCTCTGATATCAATGTCGTTGATGAGCAGGTGCCTGCACATTTCCCTCTTATGATATATTGATCACCAATCAATGCTCTCCATTACAGCTTGATGAATATGCATTCTGTTTTTCAGGAGCTTAGAGCAGCGGCATCTAACATCGAAATGAAGCATGAGAAAGAGATTGCTGCACTGATGGATGAATACAAGACTATGTACCCTAAGTGGGTCTTTGAGCTGCGGTGAGATTGTTGTATTCTTGTTTCTTTCTTATCAAGCATTTATGTTAGAACCTCACTTTTCACCTATAATCGAACATGTTTTAGAATATTTAACATGATTTATCATTATTTTTGGTGTTTCTGTATCGTGAAAGATGACACTGAAAAAAATGTAATTACCAATATGAATTATTCACAAGAATCCATCTGTTGCTCTCTCTCCTTGTCGAGTCTATTTGACAAAATCAATGTGTTATGCCATTTGAAGCATGTGTTGCCTAGACTTTTGTGTGGTCTATAGGTGTGGCTTTGGCCTTTTAATGTATGGATTCGGATCTAAAAAGGCTCTAATTGAGGATTTCGCATCTTCTTCTTTGACTGAGTTTTCAGTCGTGGTTACTGGTTATCAATGGCTATCTCCCTTCTGTAAACCTGAAACAGGTAATCAATCCTCTGCCTATTTTAACACATTTATTTCACAATGCCAATATGGTCCTTTACTTTTAAAGTGCTTGGTATGAAATGAATAGCAATAGCTCCTCTTGTTTGCATATTCAGGTTTTGGCAACCTTAGCTGAACTACTATCTGATCAGCTGAAATCTAAAAGAAAGAGTTCTTCTGCGAGCTTGAGTAAATGTCAGGAAACGTTTTCTTCTCGTTCGATAGACGGTCTTCTCTCTTTTCTACATGGCCCTCAGTCAGATGACAAAGACTGCTTTGTATGTGTTGTCATTCATAACATTGACGGACCTTCTCTAAGAGACTCCGAATCACAGCAAACCCTTGCCCGGCTTGCTTCCTGTTCACATGTACGCGTCATTGCCTCCATTGACCATGTCAATTCACCATTATGTAAGAATTATACTTTTAGTTCCTGTCGCTTGATTTCTCGTCATATAAGTTTATTTCCATTTCCCAAGGTTATCTTTACATGTTGAAGATTCTTTTTATCGAGTTCTTGGACTTTTATATGGCCTATTGTGTGTGCACATTTGCAGTGTGGGACAAGAAAATGGTTCACACACAGTTCAACTGGTTGTGGCACCATGTTCCGACATTTGCACCATACAAGGTCGAAGGAATCTTTGTCCCATTTATTCTTGCACAAGGAAGCTCGGCTCAGACTGCCAAAACGGCCGCCATAGTCTTGCAGAGTTTGACACCCAATGCTCAGAATGTCTTCAAGATTCTTGCAGAGCATCAGCTTTCACACCCAGATGAAGATGGTGAGTAAAACAGTAAAGTTAGCCGATTTTGGTATAAAAACCGTAAAAGAAAGAGTCTAGTAATGTTTTCAAATGGTTCTCTCTCTCCGTTTTTCAGTTCAGGGAATGATATTAACCCTTTAACGGTAACGTTTTCCCGTGGATTTTGGCAGGCATGGCGACGGAAAATCTTTACACGATGGCTCGGGAACGGTTCTATGTGAGCAGCCAAGTGACACTGAATTCACACTTGACGGAGTTCAAAGACCATGAACTAATCAAGATTAGAAGGAACTCTGATGGACAAGACTGTCTTTATATACCTCTTGCCCCTGAAGCCCTTCAACAGCTCTTGCGTGATCTCAATCAATAGCTCTATCCAAAAAGTTCGATTTCTGTTTCTCATTGAAATTTTTGCTTTCACTGATAATTATGATTTGATTTCACCTTAATTTATGGGCTGACAAGTGTTCTGTAGACGATCTTCTTCTGTATTCAATTATTATTGTAAATTATGCTTATGGAGAGTTGCCTCTTTTTGACACATTAACATTGGAGCGAGTAATGCATCAGATTTTTACAAATCCCGAGAAAGAAATTGTTATGAATCAGGTGTTCAACTGCTATCTCGGACACGGGACTTGTCTGTGATTTGCTCTGTTCTGAATCTCTGATCCAGGTATGTATGTATATATATATACACACACACACAACACAACACCCAGAATGTGAAAGAATGTGTGAAATACACAAATTCACTCAACAAGTTACACATAACAAAACCCTAACCCTAGTTTTTTCGGGAACCGGGTATCTTGGACCGAAATCCAAACCGACCCTAGTTGATTTCAACTGCGAAGATAATGGGCCAAGGCTTTTCTAACTCCGAACCCACCACGTCCATCCCTGCTAGAGAGAAATGGAGTTCTCTCTGTTCTCATGGGACTTACCAATGGCATCGGAGAATAACTCGGCGTCGAAAACGACCCTGTTCTGTACGGTGTGCCTGAGAATGACACTGAAGAAAATGGAGCCGACAGTCTTCTCTGAGAACCCGAACCAGCTTTTGATGAAACCAGTCTTAACTTGTTGTCTGAATCCTTTGTTATGTCGTCCACGTACAAAAGCTCCTCTATCCGTACCACTATACTGTACGCCAAGCTCTCGAGAACCCTCGAGTAGCTCTCGAGAATCGACTTCCCTATGTCCTGCGAGACCAAAAAGGAAAAAAGCAACCCGGCTTTTACATTCAGTATGTGACAACGTTGGTAGATTTGAAAGGAGAAAGAATGGTTTGGTGACTAGACCTTGTTGCATTGTATCTTGCTGATGTCTAAGGCGGTTTGTCGTAGACCCGGGAAACGCTGTTTCAAGCAGAGCAACAAGCTTTCCGCTCTCCCCGAGAGCATTTCTCTTTTGTCGTTGTCCTTCACCATCATTCCCCATGATGATCTTGCAGCTGCTCGGTACGGAGAGATCGAAAGCTTCAAGTGAGCTCTTCTACGCCAAATGTATATAGACGCTTCAACCCGGTTTGCCATTTCTACAACGTCGTGCTCAGATGACAGGTCTATGGATTCGAGCAAGAATTCGGCAGAGAAGTTATCAGAAGTGATGTTTCTGTACAGGAATTCGCCTAGACAGGATCTCCCGTTCTGCATATCGAAATCGCCCGGGAATTTAACCTACTAATCGTTTTTTCTTGCTATGAAAAATGTGATCAATGATGGGCATTGCTAAAACCCGATTACCTTTGGAAGAGCATCTAGGTATGACCGGGGAACCTCCATCTCAGCCAAGGCGATGCTGTTTATCGCCAAACAGGCTTTCAAGATTTGGTTAGTGAATTCACGAGTGTGATTCAATCTTTTCCTCGAGTTTTCGCGGAGGCCCCCGGGCGGCACACGAGGCAGTGGCAGCCACCACTTGTCTTCATCTTGTCTGCTACAAATTTGTTCCCGGAAAGAAGCCGAGCCATTGGATACCGGAGTTACGACATCTTGATCTACGTACCAGAACTCGGTCTCTCCGAAACCGTCCAATATTTCCTGAGACATTGAAATGAGATCTTAGGAAATCACATTGGCCACTTAAGTGTGAAGCTTTCAACAATGGTGAGTAACACTTAGAAAGATGAGATCTTACAAGAAGCATATTGTCTAGCTTACGAAGAGCCGGAAGGCAAGTCGAGAGATCGGATCTCGTTCTGCAGGTCATCACCTTCATTGCCAAAAGAAGAAGAAGAACGATATTGAAACAGAGACAAGAAACATCATTCACAACCATACTGTGTGATTCAAAGATGTCTGAAACTAATCAAGATCAGATCCTCGAGATTATGTAATGACGAACAGAGGATATGAAACTAGAGGTTGCATTTGAATTACCTCAACCTTGCTTCCATTGGGGAAACTCTGGAAGGAAGGCACCAATTCAACAATGTGATCACTGACACACAGAAGAACTTCCATTTCTCTTTTCCACATGGATTTTTTCTCAGTAGGCAGTGGCTCTAACCTCCATAGCTGCCCCAGAATCGAAGCTACAGTAACAATCTTGTAAACATCGGCAAATGTGTGTGTGTGTGTGTATATATATGTATAGATGAAGAAATTAGATTACCAGAAAGATTGGTGATGGCATTAGAGATTGCTAGAGCTGAGCAAACACCTTCACCAGAGCCTGACATGTCTTCACCAAGCAACAACTTTGCCATTCTCTCCTTCACCAACTCGACTTCTACATGAAATCCAGAAGGAAAATCATTCACGATCAATCAAAATCCTTCTAAAGTTCAGTCCTTTTTCTGCAATTTCTATGGACCCACAAACCTGAAATCTCTGCACCCAATCTCTTGAACCCAAAATTGTCGGCATTGGTCATCGTCGGCTTCTTCTTCTTCCCAGAAATGAAATCCAGAAGGAAAATCATTCACGATCAATCAAAATCCTTCTAAAGTTCAGTCCTTTTTCTGCAATTTCTATGGACCCACAAACCTGAAATCTCTGCACCCAATCTCTTGAACCCAAAATTGTCGGCATTGGTCATCGTCGGCTTCTTCTTCTTCCCAGACCTCTTCCGCCACGAAGCTTTCCCCAACGGCCAACCTAGAAGCTTCGACGGCGGCGGCGGCGGCGATGGCATCGGCGAGGAGACAGGCCCCTCCTCCTCCGCCTCCGCCGCCGTCGAATTTCTTCCCTCGGCGAAGCTCCCGCAGCTCGATCCAACCCCACTCGAGCTGCTCGAGCTCGACTCGGTTGTGAACTCAGTCACCGAGTCCACCGAACCAGAAATCCTTTTACCGTCGTCGAGCCGTGGTCTTCCTCTCTCGAACCCAACACAGCTATTCACCATCTTTTCCATGTCCTTCACGCGAAAAGTAAGAATTTTTCCCGATACCCAGAAGATGAAAGAGAGATCATAGAGAATAAGAATGGAATTGGTGGGTCATGAAATCGAGGAACGGCTCTTTCTGATTATTCTCCATACAAGGAGGAAAAAAAAACAGTTTTTGGACATTCAAGTTTTGAAGTTGCAGATGCAAAAGGACAAAGAGGGGGGTCACATGCAGAATCTTAACGTCTCTCTGCGACTTTTGGCCCTCTTTTTTTTAATTCGCGGAGTAGGTTTACAAATTATAATGACCAATATGATCCCTATGGTTTATAAATTAAAATAAAAATATTATTCCGTATATAACCGTTACCTCTGCCACGTCGGACTTGAGCGGCTTGCTTTTATGCGATCCTAAGAAAGTCTCAGATCTCGATGGTGCAGGAATGAAGCCATGTCTACTTGGTTAGGTTATTATATTTCATTTCTATATTTATTTGGTTTTTATATCAATTTTTATTTTGGTTGGATCCCAATTTAATTTTCAGTATAAAAAATATTTTTTAATAAAGAGTTTTATTTTTCGATTATTTTGATATTTGATTTAGATTTGATTAATTTGTTTTTACAAAAATTATATTCAATCTTTTTTTTAAATCGTTTTTTTAGACGCAATTATATATCATGTATTTTGATTCGATTTTATATTTATAACTAAAATATATAGTTTAAATAATTTTATAAAAGAAGAAATGTCCAATCTAACTTTCCTTAAATATATATACAGAAGGCATTGCATGTTCCTATCTCTACTTGTAGATTTTATCACCTCTTGCATCTCTCTACGACTACGAATCACTTCAAATTCAAATTTTGATGCAAGAAAGGTTAAAATATCATAATGAGATTTGATTTGAACATATTATATGTATATATATATATATATATACCGAACATGAAAGAAACGAACGAGAGGAACCACAAGGGCTTATTAAAGAAATGGTTGGACCACTGCAACATAGTAGCTCCATTTTTGTCAGATAATTCTTTTCTCTTATTTTCAGCCCTTAATTATCATTATTTTTGTAATCATGCCTTCATTACTGTTGCAATTTGCAAATGCAATAACTATTATTTTCTAAAACTGGTGAATATATTAAAGAGATAAACAAATATTATTTTTCATGATAATGGATTGGATATCATTTTATTTAAATCAAATTAATCAAATACGAATTTAATAGCATTAATATAAAAATAAAACCAAAACTAATATTTTAGAAAATTAGTTTTTTTAATAAAAAAAACGGAATACAAAACTAATCCAAATGAAAACAGAATTTTACATAATAAGGAAAATAAAAGAGATATAATTGTTACGAACTTTGAGAGTGATTGTTATATACTTTTGAAAATCATATGAAGTATCAACTAATAGTACCAAAGATTTTATAAAAGAAAATATACTGTATAGGTTTATAAAATTTTTATGAAATAGAATCTCTGTCTCGAACTCATTACTTGTCAACACTTATATTATAATACCAAATACCACGTTATTAATCATTTCAAACTAACAAATTATAATATCCGTAACAGAGTAATAGAGAAAGAGAGAAATGGACGAAAAATGGATTAAAAACATAATATATGTGTTAAAATTAAAACAAAAACCAAATCAATAATCGTTTTGTCAATTGCAGTTGTTCGGTTATTAATCGAACCAGACCGAATAAATCCAAACGATTATTCGATCTTTTCCAACCGATCAATTATTTTCCAAGTAACCAAACCGAACCGATCCAATATTATTCGATTCAATTTGATTATTTGGTTAATAAGCCAAGTAACCGAAAGTATATGTTACTAGGAGAGTACGTTTTGGTTCCAAACTAGATCTCTTCGGTTTTTCATTTTTCAGTTTACATATATTTTATTTGGTTTACATTCAATTGGCTTTTTTTTTTATGTGTGTGTGTATAAAATTCAGCCCAAAATCTATCTCAGTTGTATTTAGTTGGAATTTTATCAAATGAACTACAAATATACTTGAATTGAACAAATATTGTTTTTAGTAAAAGCAAAATGGTTCAAAATTATTGAAGTATAAAATCAAATCAAACAGAAATATTGTGATTTTATTTCGAAATTAAATATACGAGAATCAAACTGAAAATCGAAAATATTGTAATAACATTTTTTTGTTCTCAAACCTGAACAAGAGATAGAGTAAGATTTGTTGTTTTTGCTTAGAGAACATAAACATGGATTGATCATTTTTAAACAAAACTCATAATTTAATTGATTAGTCGGACAGATTATCATCGATCTTAATATTAGTCAATCTCATGTTTTGGCTCCCTCCCTCGTTTGAATTTTTGCCTTTGAGTTTATTTCAAATCTGACCGTTGATTTTGAATTTGGAATAAAGACATCTGACGGTTCTGCTTCAATTTCAAATAGTTACTGAAAAACACACAAGTAGGCTATTAAATCGTAAAATAAAAATCACAATACAACAAAACAAAATTTACTAGACAATAAATTTACAGTTTTGAAAGTAAATGCAATACCAACCTTTGACCAAAAAAAAAAAAAAAAATACTAAGACAATAATATGTTTATAATTTTCTGTGGGCTTTCGGCGGGAAATTCGAAATTACAAAATTTGAAAGTCCTTTTCAGTTGTTTTCCATGGGATACATTTACTCGCATTTTGTTTTTATATTATTGGTGCTATTTTATTTGGTGGACAAATAATTCTTAATCTATTATTAGAGATATTAAATTACGACAAGTGTATAGTTTAATTTGGCCAATGATGTATTGATGTGTGATATTTTCATTAAAAATGAAATGGTAATATGATTATTAATACAGAAAATTGTGAGATCAAATGACGAGATGGGATTTGCAAGATGGGAATGCGTAATGATGATATGTCGGATGGTTTCATTCGCCATACAAATTAAATTACATAATATATATATATATACACACACACAGAGCATTTTTTTGTCAATTTAAAATATACTTGTATTATTTATTTCACGCTCAGACGACAAAAATGAAACAAAATAAATTAAATTTCAAATTATAAAATTAAGAAAAATTTATTGGATATAGGAAGAGGCAATCGTTCCTTGGCCACCAGACAGCTTTTCAACGATTTGAATTCCGGTGGTTCCGTATTGTTGGGTTGTTTTAAAGCTTGATTTTTTTTTTCTATTTTTATAAAAATTACATATATTCCTTTTTTTATTTAAGGTTTTTTTAAAAATTAGTTGGATTTAATCAATTTAGTCAAAAAACGATACCAAAAATTATATATTATTTAATTTGATTTCATTTATATAAATAATCCAAAATATTTTCCTCTGATATGTGGCCACCTTTTTTGCTTGCAGCATTACATTTTTTTCTCTAAAAAAATCTGTTATTCGCATCCAAATAAAGGATTGGTTTTAATTTGACTTTAGTTTCTCTTTACAAGTAATTTGGAATCATTAGTGTTCATATTTAGTATTTTGAATTGATGGGTAACTATATCAAGTATAATTCATACATATGAGATTTGTTAGAGGAGGTTGTACACCCATATGGTTGTTACCTATCTTGCAATAATTTAATTCAAAACCCAAAATTTTAAAATATGAGATAATATTTATTATTATTATTATTATTATTTTATTATGTTTATGTTTATGATCTCTCCCTCTGCCATGAATTACGGTTAATTAAAATAATATATGCTTTTGAGCTGTCTCTTAGAAACCCTGAATCCTTAATAAAGGCACTTCTGTCTTCAACATTTTCTGCTTCCTAAACACTTTCAAATTCAAACTTCTCTCTCTACTCTCTCTCTCTCTCTCTCTCTCTCTCTATGGCTGAGCCGCTCGCCGGTGATGTGCTTCCGGCGAGTGTCGCCGTCGACAAGCTTCCCGCGGAGAAAACCCTCTGCCCCGAGTTCACCCCGAGTCTACTAGGTTTCCCCACCGAGTTCCCGTTCGAGTTTAACTCTCCCACATTCTCTTCCGCTTTCCCCTCCCCAGGCGACTCCACTGAGACCGAGGACGAGAGCAGCGACGACGAGGAAGACTTCCTTGCCGGGCTGACTCGTCGACTCGCCCTGTCAACTCAGCGCCTTCCTCACTCCTTCTCCAGCGAAAAAGCAGAGGCAAGAACCCTTCTTCTTCTTCCCCTCTCTCTCTATCTTTTTAGCTCGTACTTGTCAGGGGACTAACGATTTTAGTGTATTGATCTTCAGGAGAAGCGCCGAGTCGTTTCGACTTCGCCGCTTTCAACGCTGAGTGGACTCGGAAGCTGGTCTGCCTCGGGGAACGGCAGCCCAAATGGACCGCTATCGCATGTTCCTTCGCCGCCGGCGACTCCATTTCGCAAGGACGACACTTGGGATGTGATTTCTGCGGCAGCAGGGCAAGTGGCGAGACTGAAAATGGGTGACTGCCGAGAACCGTTACTCAGCCGCCCAAACCCTAACCCTAATCTCAACGCTGCATTTAGCTCGGACATAGGGTTCCAGCAGTTTTACAGCCACTCAAACCAGTCTGCTCAGGTAGACGACTTCTCTGAAGAATCCGCTGGGATATGGCGTTATGCAAACTGGCCGTGGCATCCAAAGGGCTCGTGCTATGGGTCTCACTTGACATTCGAGTCATCAGAGCAACAGGCTCAGAGGAGAGCTTCCGGCGTCATTGGCTGCGAAAACGGGCGCTGCGTTAGGCCGGCCACGTGGCAGCGGCTACAGCGGCAAACGTCCTCCGCCGTGAGGAGCGTGCTTCCGGTCGGATCCGCCCCGAAACGTTCTAGTGCGGGAACCGGTGTGTTTCTTCCTCGGAGGTACACAGACCCATGTGATTCACCCAAGAAATTAGGTACACGATTCTTGTTTTTTTCTTCATGGGTTTTGAGAAAATTTGGCTGAAATTGTGTTTCTGAGCTGATTCAAATCTTTAATTTGGCGCTATGCTCGTTTTCTTGCAGGTGGTTCAAGTGTTGCTTTCCCGTCAAAGGTTGTTCATCCACAAAACCAGACCTTTGACTTATTCAATGACCTGTACCAACCCAATTCACGACCTTGTCTCATGTCCGGACACACCCAGCTCGATCACGGTACTTGAACCTCGAACCCGTATGTTACAATTTTGTCTGAAGACGCACCACTTGAGCCCATAGTAACCCGTGCATGTCCTGTTAACTGTTGAGATTTCGCAGAGTCTTTAATGGCGAGAAGAAGTGATTCGTTAATCCGACAAGGAGGTCGTCTTAGGCCGCCAGTTCACGGAGGATGTTTGAACTAAGAAAGGCTTCTTCCACAAAAGCAGATTGTCTTCAGTGTTAGGATAGTGTGTGATATTGTTATGGTTTACTGCTAATAATGATAGTTATTTGAATAATTAGTTGTTTGATAATTTGGTATTACCATTCCTTGTAATAAAATGCCCTATATGTCGTAATAATTAAGGCATAAGCACTGTAATATAATTTTTTTATCCGCCCTTGGGTGGATATTTCACTAGATTGCGATGGGGTATTTGTGTTACTACTGCCGATCTTATCTCTTTTTTTGGTATTTATGGGGTGGAAATAAAAAATAGTTATTATTATTTTTTTGGCCTCAATTGTTAATAATGCTTTTTTATAATTATTTTTATTTAATTTTTATCTAAGAGATTTGATTAAAAAATCAATGTTATCCATTAAACAATGTCGATGATTATTTTTGTTAAAAATTTAAAAGTTCAATATTTTTATTGTTAAAATTGATGAATTCATATTTTTTTTTTATTTTAGAAATTTGAAAAAGTTCAATATTATCATGTCAATTAAATTAAAATTTAATATATTTTTTTATATTTTTCCCTTTTTAAAATTATTGGAATGATTGTTAACAAATACAAGAGAAACATGGAGATTTACTTTGATGCGTAAAGATGGTTAGGAAGATAATGTTTTCTAAGTGTGTGTGTGTATAATTTATTTTTATTATTTTTTCCATTTCATTATTATAGTGAATCATAAAGAAGCAAATGCCTGCAATCACATGCTCTGATTGCCATACCATACACATATACTTATAGATTTCATTTTTTTAAATCGAATTTTAATTTCTCTGATATACTATTGAATTCTATTATCGAACTTTTGTTTTATGATTATCTCGAATATGTGCTAAATTTTTTTGTATTTTGGTTATGTTGGATTTATACTGATTCGTTCGATTTTTTTTTCAATGTTAAAGCCTGAATCCGACCCAAACTCAACCCCTTACAAAGGCTCGTAAGGCCTGGTTGATCCGAAAATCTTCACTTGACATCCCTATATATATATATATATATATTAATTTTCAAAATACAGAACCCAATTTTTATGGGTTTTGTTTGATAGTGTCCCTAATTATCCACCAATATCCAAAGAGTCATAAATTTCAAATTTTATACCTAGGTTTTAATTATGTTACATAAAAATCTAAAACTAACTTATTATAATTTTCAATATATGAGTTTTTTTTATTTGTTTCTATCTATTACATTATAAATATTTTATATTTATAAACATATTACAATTTTATGTATATCTTAACTATTGTTTATATATAAATATATATTATGTTTTTGTTTTAAAATTTTGGATTCGGGTATCCGTGATATCCAAAATTATCTTGAATATTCGAACATATCACAGATTCAAGTTAAAATAATATATTATGAAAATTTTGAATTCAGATTCGGGTTAGAGTATTCCCAAAATTTTGGATATAAGTTTTTTTGAATTTATATGAACAAATTAAATAATACAAAAAACAATTTTAATTGATCTGGTTGAGCTCTTTTTGAATACATATCTTGAAGTCAAGGGATATATATTAATCTTATCAATGTTCATGGAACCGTGGGTAACAACACTAACTGTAACTGGCTTGTGAATTAGAATCCGTTCTCTTGAAGTTACTCTTAGTTTCACTGATTAAGATTATTAAAATTTTGATTAGTCTCCTAATGAATATACATATATATATATATATATATATCTTATTGAGAGAATGTAAAACAATTTGAACATCTTTAGAGCACTTCACACGGCGCCATATCATGAATGCGACCCTTGAAATTTAAATTCACTCTCTACTCTAAATTTTCGTAGGTCAATTATTCAAGACTAAATAAACAATATATATATATATATATATGCATAAAATTTTTTAACTTTATTAAGTTTATTGATTTGTCTCCTCTTAATTCATTTTCTTGATTAAGAACCTGTTCATCACACACACACACATATATATATATGGTCATGTAGATTCTCAGATTCCAAAAATACCCATTTGAACGCAGTGAGACATTTCCTGATTTTCTGACATTACAAAGTGCAGGTCTGCTTGCATTCATTTTAGTAGATACTGTGGTGTTGCTTGAGCAACAAGTCACCGACATAACTCGGTCCTCGATATACAGGAAGCAGCCATGGCGCAGTGGAGAACATGTACGCCATGGGAAAGGTGAAGACGGGCATGACAGAGCAAGCAACATAGGGAGGAGGAGGACGAAGAAGAAGAAGAAACATCAATGGTAATGTAGGAGAGATTGTAGGCAGACCCCATTCTCACCTCACTAATGGACATTCTGGGCATCTCAGAAGGTTCCTTCAGGTGAATATCTTTCCGATATTTTCTAGGATCGGTCCATGATTCATTCGAAACAAAGATAACGAATCCATACCACGGCCAAGTTGTTTGTGTTGGCGAGAAGACAGTAAATGGATAAGAACGTTTCATCCTAAAGAAGACGGTGTCGGATTCTCTGTCCCTATGCTTCCATTGAAGGCTGGAAATGGTTTATCGAATGTGGCTGCCATTGACGATTATGGCCGCCTATGAGAGTGTTGATAAGATTCGGTTTTTGTACATGTGTAAATATTTATGCACAAGGAGAGAAGAAGTGCTTGTAGAACATAAAAGCAAAGCCTTTTCCCTTCTTCACTATCAATTGCGCAATCATAAAATTATACTATTGTGATAATCTAAAGCTTATCAAAGGCTCTGCTTTGTGTTTATGGAGATGATGATCTCAAGGGTTCATGCAAAAGAATCTCTTTGATCCATTTCAATTCAAAATATCAAACAGAGGAATCTGATACTTATCTACATGCCGGCCGAAATCTGGTAATGTTCTTCAAGAACATTCCCAGTTAGGCGTTGGATATCTCTTTGCATCGAGCTTGTAAGATCTGTCGAAAATCTGATGTACCAAAAGAGAAGATAGATGCCATTTTCTTCTAGCTCAAGCCATCGAGCTCAGCTCGCATAGAAAAATCTTGTCTCGAGATCTGATTCGATATACCATTGTTCATCATTCCAGTAAACTTTGCTCATGCGTCCCCAAAGTGAAAATTATCTGTCTTTAAACTCTACCATGCTTCTCTCAAAAGGCTGTTGTCAAGGCCGCTCTTTATCCACGCCATATTATTCAGGTCGGTGGCGATGGAGATCAATTCTTGGTCCAAAAGAGCAGAAGGCTCCTCACAATCCACAAACTCAGGCCCCAACAAGGAGGTACGGGGAGACAGGTTTTTGGTTGGGCAGTCACCACAGCCATGACCACATCTCGTGGGAACGTTAGGTTCTTCGTAAAGGGACTGAAGAAATATACCGCCAAACGAGTTGGGACCTGATGCCTGAACTAGAGGTCCTGCACATGGAACTATATGTAGCTCTGTGTATCCAGTCATCGGGCTACCTGGCTTATAGGCAGTGAATGCGCTGACATGAGCCGCTGGGCGACAAACACTATGTTTAGAGTTTCCTTCTTCAGTAGCTTGTTCCTGAGCTTCATTGGAGCCATTATCCATCACAACATCGTCTAGCTCGGGAGGCTTAGATGTATCAGATTCTCCTGGAGGCAACTGTTCTTCCGGGGATGCTTTTGGTATAATCTCAAGCTTTTCTTCTTCCTTGACGGCAGTAACTGCCGGATTGAACTTCCATTGACCGTTCTTCCATAGATCTGCGTATTTACGTCGAAGCGTTGAATTCCAGTGGTTCTTGATGGCATTGTCTGTTCTCCCGGGCAAAAGTTTCGCGATTGCAGCCCATTTGTTTCCGTTGATCGCGTGAGCTGTAATTATGATTCGGTCCTCCTCATCTGCAGCACATGTTAGCCAATGTGAAATCGACTATAACTCGTACAATTGCCATTACGTCTCAAATTAACTTTCACCAACTCCAAGATCAAGAATTCAGCATCATCTGCCCAGCACTACGATCTATAGAAACAAAGAAGAAATCGACTACGACTCGTACGAACCAGTGTGAGAATTCAGTCTGAGATTAGCTTTTTCGCAAAAGGACTGATACAGAATCAAACAAAGATCATCATCGCTCATACAGCCCAGATTTGCCAGAGAATCGAAAGTACCCATCAAATAGAAAGAAGAAATAAACCCAGAAATCAAAGCAAGAGCAGTAAAAGAAGAAGCAAAAATAAGGTGGGGAAGGGTGTTTACCAGTGAAAGGCTTGCGCTTAAGGCAAGGATCAAGCTGATTGCACCACCGCAATCGGCACGATTTCCCGGAGCGACCAGGGATTCCACGAGCGATCAGGCTCCAGTTCCTCGGCCCGAACTTGCTCACCAGCCTCGTCAACACCTCGTCCTCCTCCGGAGACCACGGCCCCTTCACCTTGCTCCCGCCGCCGCCGCCGCCGTTGGACTCACCTGCTCCTCCTCCCAACGCGGCGATCTCCGCCTCAATTGCGCCGCTCAAACCTTCGTCGGAGTCAGCGATGGCGTACGGCGGAGGAATCTGTCCTTCCATGGAAGAAAAATCAAACTTTTTTTTTTTGTGAGGTTTGGTGGGTATTCTCTCTCTAGAAGGTGTTTGGAGTTTATGCAGACTTCTGCCTCCGTAACTGCAACGCTCTCGAGTGGGGTTTAACAAGGGGCCTGATGTTTCGGGTTCGTTTCTTTAGAAACTTCCATTTTACCCTCTACTTCCCTAATATTTACCGAAATACCCCTTCCGTTATTCACAGTAGCTTAACTACCCCTCCCTCTCTCCTCTTCTTCTTCTTCCCCTCATTAAAATTTTCTAACTTGTGAAGGTTATGAAAACTTTAATTGATTTTTTTAAAAAAAATATTAGGTTTATATTGACTATCTTATTGTAATATTTGTTAATATAAACTTAATAAAAAATTATACAGATTGTTTGTTTGAAGAAAAGAAAAATACACCTTTTATTAATTTTTTTATAACATAAAATTTCATTTTCATGTTTTATTATAATTTCTTCGTTATTATATTTTATAAATCAATAATTCTCATTTAAATAATAACAATAAATTTCATTAAAATAATTATATTTTATTATTTTTAATTGATTGTGTTAATCATTTCTCTATTTTAAAAACTTTTTATAAAATTTTATAATGATTTCTTTATAATCAATCAAAATTTCAAAAATATTCAGACTCATATTCCTACGCCATATTTATGATGTATTATTATTTATCATATTGTTCCATGAGCAAAACTGTTTCGACAGTTTTGCCCTTCGAGTGGATGGGGAAGCGTGCGAAGCTCGTGACGAAATCTGCTCGCGCAGTTAAATCGCCGTTGGGGGGTCTATTGGTAATTTTCACAATTTCTGTTATATTGTTAGGTCAGTGGGGTTTTATTGGATACAATAATTAAAGGAAGAGTTATTACCACTTTGTCCCTCTCATCTTGAGCCCATTTTATGGAGCTGCATTGGTAACTAGGCCCATTCAAAGCCCATTTAGGCATTTTTTTTCAAATGTAGTATTATTATGGATTTTTTTTCAAATGTAGGATTAAAAAGCCCATTGGAATAAACCCCCCCCCCCCAAATGTATAGAGACGCGTGATACAAGAAACACTACTAACATTTGAATGAATTCAACATCTAAGAATGATATATATATATATATATATATATATATATATCTTAAGTTGTTTGAATGATTTTATATGAAGCGGTTTGAAATATTTTCTGGATCCTATACCATCTATGTAAAAAATTGTTATATTGTGATCTAGTCCATTTGTCATTATGGGAAGATTGCTATTTGGTTGTAAGAGTCTCTATAACCTTTCATGTAACGTGTTCTGTATTCCTACTATTGAAAACATTACCAATTCCCATTCCAAACCAACAAATTTCATAATACTTCGTCGAACCTTAATTAAACACTAATAATGATAAAGTTCAGTTTCGTCTATTTGCGCAGACTTTAATGTGTTCGGGCTCAACAAGAACGAGAGAAAGAATCACACGGTCAATCTTGCACTATTTCAACCAAAAAATGCAGAGAATGCTCTCAATCAATTTTTATTTTTTATTTATCAGCGTGAGTTAATGAATCTTTTGGCTCACTACATCTCTCTGTCTCGAGCCAAGGAAATGTGAATACCCTCTCCAAAGTGGAGACTCGAACCCAGAGTGAAGTAAACGCTTTGCACCCTTTACCCACCAGTCAGCCACCGACGTTTGGGTCAATCATCTTCTATTTCCTGCTTCTATTTCCTTACACCGCCGCACGAAACTGTAACCCTCCAAATTAGCGAGAGTGTTCCGTCTAATATGATTATGTGTATACAATCACGTACGTACATAGACGTAGTCACGCTCACAAACATGAACGTATAGATATGCATGGTTACCTAAGCAAACCCACTAGGGATACATTACGAGGAAAGGAAATATGAACATATTGATAGCACCCGACAAAAGAAAACAAGACAATGAATGTTATCTAATTAGGAGGGAACAAAGAAATAACTCTTTATTATTATTATTATTACATTTCTTATAAAGAAAAAAATAAAACCGTGATTGGATAGAGAAGTGAAAGCTGTAAGCATTGGTGCAAAGAAAAGCAAAGTCGGACCCCTCTCGTTAACGCCATAAGAGTTGAATGGTACAACAATACCTTGTCCTTTTTTTTTATTGCATTATGCCCTCCAACTTCTCCTGTCGTCTCTATTCATTACCGTATATTCTATGCGTACACATATACATATATATTATATATATACACACTCTTTGTGTGTGTGTGTGTGTGTATTGACTGACACACGTACACGACATCTGCGATGGAACGAGTGCTTCGCCAGTGTCCAACACCCTTTGTTCACCATTATTGAGAAATAAAAGAAAAAACAATCGACATCATGGCTCTTTCAACTTGAAACATTAATCCTATATATGTATATGTATATGTATATGTATATGTATATGTATATGTATATGTATATGTAGTTGTAGTTGTAGTTGTAGTTGTGTGATGAACTCTAGAATGGCTTTATCTCACGAACTCCTCTTAGTGTCGTTCTCTGCTGTATTTGCTTTTGCATTTTCAGGTTTTCTGTTATATCTTTTATTTCAATCATGTGTAAGATTAATAATTATTATAATTTTGATTACGAATATTATATCATGAAATTGTATGTTTCTATCCATAAACATTATGTCATATTGAACTATAAATTTTGACTGGATTTTTTCTTTAATTAAATAATTGTTTAATATCTATATATAAGACTAACGTTTTAAAAAACATAACCAGAAAATGTTAACAGTAGAAAGAGAATAAAAAAAAGGATTATATTATTGTTATTATATATATATATATTGAAGAGGCTATTGCCAAATCAAGCACGCTTGGAGAGTATTAATTACTGCACTAATTGTTGGGCTAATGGCGCATGCATGAAAGCAGAAAATTAGTGCACTAATTACAAGTTCTTTTTTTGAAAACTCATATGTTTGATCGGTCAATCTTTTTATAGACGTTCAAAGGAAATGATGATGATGATGATGATGATGATGATGATGATGAAATTGATAGTAAATTTTGGTTCAATCTTATGTGTAGGTGTGTGATTGATTTGGATCAATCATGCATCTTTATAAATTTAGAAAAATCTGTAATAAAATTATGTCATTTTATTTTAATTGGAAGGCAACTGGTATAAAGTTAGATTTTATTTTCACTGGTATATTAGATTATTTTTTATGTTAAAAAATTCGACGGATTCAATCTTTTACATGGATTTTGATTTTCAGTTAATTTTGATTTAAAAATTATTTTAAAAAAAATCACGCTCTTTCACCTTTTTTTCATATTTTTATATTTGACTAATAATCAGACTCAAAAATATATTTAATTAATTTTTATATCAGATTTCAATGTTATTGTAACCGATCTATATAAACCATCACACGTTTCGTTTCATTGTGAAATAATATCAAAATTAAGTCCTCAAATTTTGGTAAACTTTTATATACATAAAAATTTGTAAATATAAAAACTATAACTCTCATATATATACTTGTCACCACTAAAATTAGAGTTTTTTTTTTATAAATATGTCAATTTGTTCAAATATTATTCAAAAAAATATGAGTTAATTACAAAGTACTAAAAAAATACATCAGCCCAAAAACTATCAATGTTCTACACCAACGGTCCAACACTAACGAAGTAAATCCGGTGACAGTACCGGTTGGTCGGAGAATCAAAATTACATCAATGTCATGTCATAAAAAATTTAACGTCATAAAAATTGTGTCACGTCATAAAAAAACAAAAAAATACACACACACATGTACGTGCATATATGTTTGTGTATATATGTGCAGAATATACATAATTATACAAATATATACATGACATGTGTGTATAAATATACTTTCATGCACTCTCATACATATATATATATATATGAAACATATGCACGTTTATATACATATACACACACATATATATACACATCTATACACTTATACACACTTATGTACATACATGCACACAATACCATATAAACATTTAACATTTCTCTAAACACATATCACAAGCATATATATATATACACACACACACGTAAACGTGTGTATGTATATGAGTATTGGGAGTACTTTTTATACGATATGTGCATAAGTATATATATATATATATATATATATATATATATGCGTATAAATATGTATATATGTGTTTTTCTTTCTCTTAATGGCGTGATATATTTTTACGACAGTGACAAATTTTTATGATATATAGTTTTGACATGACGTTGACACGTGCTAATTTTGATTCTGAAACAATCACACGATTAACGCGGTCAATATTTATGTAAAAAATTATCAATCGTTAGAAAATTGATATATTATTAATGTATGTTAACGATATTTTAATAAATTAATTTATTTATATGAATTTTTCCCTTTCGACATGGAGACTTTTTTTCTACGTTTTCTCGGTCCTCAATCAAAACCCTGAAACTCTTTATTGATTAATTATAATTTTTACGGTTTTAATGTAATAAGAAAATAATATACTTTTAAGAAGAAAGTAAAATAAAGATATAAAATTTTCTTTTACTTTGACTTTCAATTCAATAAAAAAAATAATACATCTTTTATAACCTAATAATAATTAAATTGTAAAAGTAGAAATTTCTGAAAATGTGTACAAATTAAAATCATTATTTTCAGATGGCCCATGAATTAGTATTTTTTTATTTAATGAAATCCATAAGTTAGCATCGGTGAGGTTTTACAATTATATCGTTTAATTGACCCAACACATTCACACAGTACAATCGAAATCCCACAAAAATAACTATGATTGTTATATTTGCAACATTATCAAAATTTCCATAATGTAAAAAAGAAAAGAAAAGAAAAGAATACAGTAATTAAAAGAGAAAATATTTACCAACATTTTAATGTGCTAGCTAGTTCTTTTCTGTAAAGCAAAAAGAATATTTAATTAAAAAAAAAAGAAAATTATATAAGATGTAACTTGAGTCATGTTCGGACAAGGTGTAGAGGCCAAGATTGCGTTTGTCTGGTATGAAATTGAATGCCACTC